TTTACTTTACTTTACTTTACTTTACTTTACTTCAAACAGGACTAGATTTGTACAATTTCTGACCACAAATATATTCCTAACCTTTCAGTAAAATTAAATTAAACTAAATTAAATTAAATTAAATTAAATATGAAATTAATTTAATTTTAATAGTTAATTAATTTAAACATAAAATAAAATACATTTTAAATATAAAATAACAAAGAAAATAAAATAATAGCAAAAAAATAATAAAAAACAAAATAAAATAAAATATATTGTATTCTATATTAAAATAAAAAATATATATATATAATATTATATATTGCTAATCTTGAATATGAGCAGTAATAGTGATGTTTGACTAAATCGAGTAGATGTGTATAATAGTGTAGAAAAGTCTCTGTGAGGTTGTAAATGTTGTTTGTAACAAATGCAAAGCTTTCAGTGTGACTGGCAGTATGACGGACAGCGAAGCTTTCTGTCAGAAACCCTCTCTTTCACTCCATCCGTCTCTCGCTTTTCTCTCCTCACCGTCTCTCATCTCAGTGATGCTGTTTTAAACACATTATAGCAGCTAAAGATTCAATTGTAAGAGTTGTGTATTATGTACACATTTGCGTGCTGCATAAATTGAAAGAATTGTGCATGAAATACACTGTATCTGAAGGAAGGATTAGTTTAGGTGTGCAGGATTTTCATCAGTTCCTGCTCAACCGTACTAGCTTTGGCATTTAGTGTAAAAACTTTCAGTCTTTCACTTTCAGATACACACTTTCAGTATCTGGCCTACATCATTCACACTGTCAGAGCTTGATTTGTGACTTGTGCTCACAGCGCCAACTACTGTTCACTGAGAGAATTACAGCAATGATTTAATGAATCTATCTATCTATCTATCTATCTATCTATCTGTCTGTCTGTCTGTCTGTCTGTCTGTCTATCTGACATGAACATGTTTTCAATAATACCAAAATATTATGAAAAATGTTTTCAGCCTTTCAGATATTGATCAATCAATCAATTGATATCAAAAATATTTATTTATTGTCACAATGTAAACAAATAGTGATCTTTTTTTTTT